GTGTCGCACGTTAACCGTGTTTTCGAAGGTCAGGCCAACGACCTAGCGCGATAGACATAGATCTATATAGACAGATATCACTGCTTGGAAAGTGTGTTGACATGCATAGACATGTGCATGGAGAGAGAGAGAGAGAAAGAGAGAGAGAGAGAGAGAGAGAGAGAGAGAGAGAGAGAGAGAGAGAGAGAGAGAGAGAGAGAGAGAGAGAGCATTCCATGGCAAACCAGGCAAAGTACAAATTGTATCTGCAAATGTGTCCAACGCTCGTTATAAAAGAAGTTAATGTCCATGCGATTCGCTATTCCGTGTTAGGGTCTATGTCCATCATTTTCTCTTTGTCGTTGTTGTTATTGTGTGTATCACACGCGCTACAAAAAAACATTGATGGATGACCCCTCCCCCGCCAATCAATCAATCAATCATGCACTCAATCAATCAATCCATCAATTCATCCATCCATCCATCAATCAATCAATCAATCAATCAATCAATCAATCAATCAATCCATCAATCAATCAATCAATCAGTCAATCAATGCCACCCGGTCTTCGATGAGCCCTAACATAACCCCTTCAATATCTACGTATGTTATCAGTCCTGCTCTCTTGTCTCTCGTCTGAGCTGTATTGGGAATGGTCAGTATCCCAGTCCAGTGTACGCAGTCTCGTCTATTTTGCCCCGTGGAATGTCTTGCCCTCTGGTCGTCGACTTGTATATGGCAACAGCCACTCCTGTCGTCCCTTAAAGAACATATCCGTGTAGTCCTCCTCTAAAGAGACGATCCACCCGCGACACGAATATTGTCAAGCCTTGCGTTCCATGCCGACAGAAACGAGGCTTCTCTGAGCACGACCCCTTACCGATTCCCTGTTTGCGCCTGTCATGTACCAACCTGCATGATGCGCACTCGCCTGCAAGCAGACATGACTTCCCTGCCATTTGTTAGCGATCACTTCAATCTCCACAACTACAAAATTCCCTTCCACCGCCCGCACCAACCACCATTGCCTGCCATCTCGCTCCGGACCTGCACTATGAAGTGCCAGAGTATCCACAACGTCCACAATGCACACCTTTAAATTTGCAAGGTGGACGTACAACCATCTCCGCCACTCGCCATACGGACTGCCGGCATTGGCATGCTTCGCACTGGAAAGAGATTGTCCATCGGGTGAGCACACAAATCGAGAGTGGTGTGGCGCAGCTCACAGTGCTCGGTGTGCACAAAGTCTGTCGACCACCACCCTCTCATCACCGTTTTTTTTGGAACTGCGACTCGAACAACAACACTCGCAATCTATCGGGTGATCACAAAAATTGATGGTATCGCTGTTCACATCGCATGGTGTGCACAAAGATCATCGAGCGTGATCTTATCATCACCGTTCTTGCTAGAACTGCGTCACAGTCTATATACGTGGTGCTCTGCGGGCGTGAAATCGACTCGTTACGGCGACGTGTGGAAAGGACAGTGGACGAAAAAGTAATTAAAAAACAAACAAAAAAATTATAGAGCACATAAAACAAAAAGAAACCGAATGTCACAATTGTTCGATATTTTGACAGGAGAAATCGGTGGCCACCAATAAATCGGTCGTCAATTTCGAACACACAATGAGTTTTCGGTTATGGAAGTGCATATATAACGGTGCATTTACTACATGGACGAAATAGCTACCATCAAGACACAGGGCAGTACAATGAAAGGGGGGGGGGGGAGTAGGTGAGGATGGGTGGTTCACAACAGGCTTCAAAATTATCAAAGGGTTCAAACTTTTGTGGTTGATTTGTCGTTAGCGGTGCATACCAAACGGCATAAAAATCCCGCAGCAATGTGTTCGGGTTTGGTGACCGAACGGGAAAGAGCGCCAAAACCCTCCGAACGCATACATAAAAAAATATAAATATTAAACATCTCAAAAAAAAAATGTTATGTAAAATAATAATACAAACAACTTTTGTCTGGGAGGTATGCTCAAATTCGTAACCGAACTCGAGTTAAAAAAAAAAAAAAAAAATGTTTTTTTTTTTTCAAATATGTTTGGCCGAACAAGTTCGGAAGGCGTTCGCCCGAACACCCGAACATATTCAAATGTTTGGAAAAACTCTGAACATGTTTGTTGTATTACACATTAAAAAATAAAAAATAAAAAAATACGCATACAAAAATTTTGAGATTGCAAACATTCCACACGATTTAAAAAATGACAGTGACACAACTTTCACACACACATGACCTGATGTGCGACACACATCACTTCCCCAGCGACAATGACATCATAGCGACCACTCGAACGTTCCACGCGATTTCAAAATTGTCCAAGACATTGCCAAATTAGGAGTTATACAAATTCAAATTTCACAGCCGTTGTTGCCTCACTAACGGTGAGTTTCATCCCTTCCCGCCCCCGGAAAAAAAAAAAATGGCAACTACAGGAAGACTACAACCCGAAACAGAGGATGCGGTCTTTTTCACAAGGCCAGACTATGGCGATTAAATCTCCCACTTCCCCCCCGCCATGTCGGATGAGTTCGCATCCCCCGCGAACATCCTACTTAAACATTTGACGATCCGATCGATCTCACAGCGGTAGGTATCCCGAGATATCCCCGGATTCGAGCATGGCCAACCATGAACCCCCGCACCGCCGACTATTCTCTGGCCAAGGGAGAGGACTGCAAATTTATGGTCCGTAGTGGCAAAATGACACAACAACACTAGCCACAATCGCTCCGCTCGGGGAAGATGGAATGTCCATGGGTGTCAACATCATTCGGCCTCCCTCTTGGGCCTTGCGAACCTCCCCCTCCAACAACAAAACCCGTGCACGAAGGCGGTCGACCTCCTCTTGCAACTCCGCAACAATGCGCTCGGAATTCGCCAGCTTGGATGCGGCGACAACCTCTGTATTACCGCGCGTTCATTGAACGAGGGTTTTCCGTTCAGAAACTGAACGGAATCAACGCGCATTCAGTGAACGCGACCGAACGCGGAGTTCAATTCCTCGAGGAAAAAAAAAAAAAAAGAGTTCTATAAAAATTCCAAAAAAAAACAAATATTATGAAAAAAAATAAAATAAACAATATTTGTTTGAATAACATCCAAATTCGCAATCAAATTCAAAATAAAAATAGAGAACAAAAAATAGAAAAAAGTAAAAAAAGAAGTGAAATTAGTGGGTGAACATGATTTGACACCGCCATCTTTGATGATTTTTATTTTTTTTTCCTTTAGCAAAATGACTCCAAAATTTACAGACATGTAGCCCATATCATATAGAACTCAAAAAAAAAAAAAATCAAAAAAAAAAAAATATTTTTAGGCGTCGAAAATAGTTTTTGAAAAAAAAAATAAAAAATAAAAATTGAACGCCGTTCAATTTTGAGCGCGAACGCGCAATCCTTGTTCAAACGCACATTTGAACGCGAATGCACGTTCACGGCATTCAAACGGTTACATAGGACAACCTCCCTCAAGTTCTTGTCATTGACATCGGCGCGCATTCGCTTCAGCTCCGCAACCATCGTGTGCACACACTCAAACGGGACCCCTCTCTTTCTTGCGAGCTTGTGCGCGTTCTCTATCATTCGGCGGTGCACCAGTGCAAAGTCTCCAGCCATGTTCGAAACTTCGCCGAGAGTAATTTTCGCAGGGGAAGATGTGGGTTTCATGCCTATGGCTCGAAGGGATTTCTGCACGTATAGAACAACGAATGAAAGGCAGAAAAATAAAGATAAATTTGTGCATCACAACCAAACAACACACTCRCTCACAAGAGAARACAATGATAACGACARAAGGCGCCACGTCCACGACCATCGTCTCACCGGTGATGTGACTGATGTCTCTCACATGTTGGCATGGCGTGATGAGATTCGACCATCTCCACCACCCACATTACAATGCCCAAATCTGTGCGCTGACGTCATTGCCCATGCGGTCGACCTTCCCCACCCTGTCCGGTCCACGTTCACCGTGGTGGCCATTGAAATCGCCTGTAATCGATCTATCATCAATCATCAATCATCAAACAATCAATCAATCATCGATCAACCAATCAATCGATCAATCATCAATCAATCAATCATCAATCAATCAATCAATCAATCAATCAATCAATCAATCAATCAATCAATCAATCA